AAGGTTCTGATTTTGATCTTTACTACAAAATAACTAACCAAATGATCTTTTTTCATAAATATATATTTTTTTATTTTCCCTAAAACACTAAAAGGGTAAAGTTATGAAATTCGAAACAATAGGGGTAGAATTGGAATATTGATGAATCTATATGCACAAAAATGAAGTTTTCTTCTTCAATGACCAAGGAAACAAATTAAAACAAAAACATTAGAAACTACTTATGGTTAATCCGAGTACTAACTGATACTTCAAAAATTATAAGTTACATGTTGGCTTCCTTCAGTTATTTTTAATGGTTTCCTTCTCATTAAGTGTGATCTCATATTGCTTTTATATATATATATCATGTTGATGGAAATGAAACCGAAACAAAATAAAGTAGCATAATTGTCACGCAGTTGAAAACTACCAAACCTAGCTCTAATTTCATTTTCTTTTATTAGGCTATTACGTACAATCTCCACTAATTTTAATTTGGAACAAAGGATATATATTTTCTCCCAACCATCACTTGATTCTCATAATATATATATATATAGGTCACCAATCTATTCTACAATACACCAAACTAACCTATATGGATTAAAATCACAAAATCGGTGTTGCTGTTTATCTCAAACATCGCCTTTAAAATCCAAAATACTAATTTAAGCTGTAATTAATATGTAAATTGATTATCATATTGTAAAGTTAATTTATCCGTTTTTATATGATAATTTAAACACAAATATTTACTTTAATATTTCGAAAATATACTATGATCTAATTAATCATTCAACAGAAAATTCTTGAAATAGTAAATTTTATAATTATCTTTTCCATCTTTTTATTGTTTTCTTTAATTAATTAGATAGCTCATAGTTAAAATAATCTCATTAATTATATTTTAATATAAATTACAGATGAAAATGAATATTTGACTCTTTATAAAATTTTCATATGAAATATTCGTATTCATTTGGTAGAAAATGTCAAATGTATTTAATGTAATGGACTGGAAAAAAAAGAACAGTTTGATGATTTTAACGTTTTCTATTACGTATTCATAATGGATTAGATAAAGGAGGTGGGCTAATTGGGTAACATGTGATAGATACGGGACTCAACTAGAAATTGTGTTGGTTGGGGACCCAATTGAAATTAGGTGATGGAAATGTAAATTTTAAGAAATTAAAGGCTAAATGCTATTAGCATGTTAATGGACAATGCCAATCCCACGTATGTAAGTGCCTAACGCTCACAAGCATCCCAAGTTCCAATTGAGGTTTCTCGCCAGCCCAAATAGACTGGCTACTTAATTATGTATAGGTTTTTTTTTTCGGTTATAAAAGAGAGATTTGATTTCGAAATCTTTTAACAGAAAGAGATACTGATGCTAGTTGTGATGATAGGATTTTCAAAAAAAACTTCTCTCAATAAAAGAGTATTGGCACATAGATACATGCCAGTTAAGCTATAAAACCATTTTAACATATGGCATGATGATATTCTTTCTCATGCCATATTTCTCTTATCCACATGATCTAACATCCAAATGTTGTATTGCAACATGCGCGAAAACACGAGTAAACAGAAGTAAGAGTTGAAGATGTAATGCATGACAAACTAGAAGACAGATAAAATTTGATTTTTTTTTACAGAAATTATTAGAACCACTCAGCTTTTGAAATGTGAATAAAATGAGAAAGTGGCACCGTACCATTGATGTACGTTAATCAAGTTGAAACAGAGTTTTTCTCAAAATGAAAGTTTCTCTCGATGGGGCTAACTTCTCGCCACTCTCATAGCCTTAGTCCTTCTGCATGTGTTCCAATTGTGTAATTTTCGTACAAATTGTCTACTACTAAGTATGAAATGGAAAAAAACATAGCAGGTATAAGATTCTAAGAGAAATCTCTGAATCTTGAATTAGCAGAATCGGTTTATAGGCTATAGATTCTTAACTCTTGCTCATGAACTTTCATCAAATTAAAATTAAAGGTAATTTCATCAATGTTGCATTAGCTACTTTTAATTGTAAAAAAAGCTATCGAGCACAACCTCTAGGTACTTTTTTTTCCCCTTAATTCCAGGGGGTCTTTATTCGTGGCTGGATACATGCATGATGCATGATGTTTGGAGATTGAACCAATTCAAGAATAGATGAACCTAGAGAATAGCGATTGCGAAACCTTTTCTTGTAAATTAAAATCTCTAAGTTACATGCATCAATTATTTGTGGTTACATGCATTATGGATGATGCTTAGAGATTGAACCAATTCAAGAACAGATGAACTTAGAGAACAGAGATTGCTAAACCTTTTCTTGAAAATGAAAATCTCTAAATTACATGCATTAATTATATATTAATTGAATCTATATATAATTCCAAACCAGTTTGTACTTTAATTGGGTTCTCAATTAAAGAATTGAAACTAAAATGTTTCAAAGACCAAGATACCGCTGAATTTTTTCCAGAGAACTCACATGTATCAGCACTCCAATTACGAACATCGAAATTTCTCTGAACGTGAACACAAAACCGACTTTTTCTATTTTTCTAATCTATTCAATTCTTGTTAGCTTTTTTTTTTCCCCCTGGTTTATCTAGTGAAGAATCAAACGAGGAAGGTTTTGTTGCCATAATATAATTAAATCTATTCATAATGCTGACCCTCCTTATGTAGTACAAGGCGATGACTTCGCATTCGAGAAAAATGATGTTTATTGTGTCTGCTGTTGACCCTTTTGTCCCATTTTTTAGCTGTTTTTTAACACTTTTGCTTGCGTGAGTCGGTATAGAATATTGACTGGTGAGTCTATTTTTCAACCGAAAGACATCGGTATTATAGATTTTTCTTGCACTTTTGTACTATCTCGTACAGATTAATAGTAAAATAAGAAGCATCTTATGATGTTTCCATGCTATATACTATCTGTGTGCATTTGTCTTTAGTATTGTTGTTGTTTACATTATTTGTGCACTTATCTAGTGAAGTGATGAAAAGGAACCTTCTTTTGTATAGAGACGTCGGCAACATCCAATCTCTTTTATGACTCCTTTGTACTTGCAGCTTTTCAATGCATAAAGAAAGAAAGGATTTGAAAGATATGGAGTATATAGGTATTGTTTTAGCATGGAAATAATAGTAGCCTGTTATGGTACCATCTAGGGCTATGCAGAACCCAGGGAGGTTTACATAAGTTAGCCCCATCTGGAGTAGCTTTCCTTCCTGATAATGACAGGAGACACGTCCGTTGTCCAAAGATTTCGCAGCTACATAGTTGATTTCTATGTTCTTAAGAATTAAGGTAATTAATTGTTGTCTTATATGCTGCTTAATTGGGGCGAGTCATTTGTAAGTTCTAGGCAACTTATCCAACCGTCCAAAAATATTCAAATTAAATAGCTAATTCCAAAGATATGTGACCAGCAAGGTGTATTTCTAGGTTAGGTGCAGTAGTTAAGGAGATTATACCCTCTTTTTTATTTCCTAAATTTGAATCATGATATCATTGTACCATGCATGATGTGAGAATGGATCTATTATAAAATCATCTAGAAAAAAGAGTTAATTTCCTTTAATTTATAAATTAGTTTGAGAATATTTTTGACTTTGAATTAAAAATATATATCTATATCTATATACATATATAAATTATGAAACGAATAAGGCAATTGCATTTTTTTAATATTTGATTTATTGCTTAATTTTTGTAGCTAGGATCACCATTTTTTTCAAAAATATATAATTTGTTTGTTTGTAAATTATTTTTTTATTCAAAGATATTTTATTTTGAGAATTGGTGAACCCACTAAAAATTATAAACCTATTAACTTAGTCATCAAGATGGAAAAATTAACAGAAACTATAAACATGTCAATATAGCTCGTTCCTTCTTAATTGACGTATTTATTAATTTATATGGACCGGGTGATTTTGGCATTGCAAAAAGAAAAACAATTTACAAACAATTTTTTTATACTAAAATTTTATATAACTTAATGTGATAAGCGGTAGAGTGTGAATCCCGTAACTAATAAATAATTTGTCTCTTACGATAATTAAGAATCCATATCACACACATATATATATTTGTACGAAAAATTTTGTATAAAAAGTTTATTTCTCTAGGAATATTACTCTTGCAAAAGTTGATACGGTCCGGAAAGGAAGTAAACGAATGAAGTTTATTTGTTGTTTCCTTAATCATTTGTTGTTTCCTTAATCATTGCCAGACCATTAGCAACTTATTGTTCTGAGTTGTGAAACCTCTGCATACATATTCGTGATTTAGAATTACAAATTTTGGTATGGTCAGAAAAAGGAAAGAAATCCTTCACGTTCTTGTTGGCCTTTTCATTACCTTTTCTTTCTTTAAAGGGCTATCAATGTCTAAACTTCGAATCACTATACAATGAACCCGTAATGATATGTCTTAATTAAATTAATTGATGGTTCGCCGATGCTGACATGGTGGAACAGTGCCTGCAGCCCCACGTTAAGGTTGGTAATTAAGATGAGAAAATAACACAAATTAGCACACTTAATATCAGGATTAACACGCAGTCTCTAGCAATTGACACAGTCTGGCACGTGGGGCAGAGCAAAGCAATACTTAAATGCAAGGGTCACGCGTTACTTTTTTCTAAGACCAAAAATAACTATTAACACAATCCAACAATCCTGTTGTTGTCCTAATTTTTTGCTTACAAAGCCAGCATGTTTTTAGACCTTTGACAGAAGCTTGATGCACATTATATTTTATATATAGAGATCAGAGAGAACTGAGGGAGGTTCAATTGTCAGCTAGTTGAGGCACAATCCTTAAATTCCTAGCAAGTCTTTGCTGTTCAATGTATGCTATATATACACAAGTGCCATTAGCTTTCCTATACCTATAATCACTCTTGCAGGTATCCGTTGTCGTATCGTAGTAGAAAACAGGTTGTTTTTTCACTTACTTGAGCATTTGAGCATTACTGCTTGCCGGGATTATTATATCGTCCATAATCATGATCCACTGTTATATCATGCACTCCGCAGGTTACAGGAACTTAGCTTGTGAGAAGTTGTATATTTTTGTTGTCACCCCGACAAGCTTACACTGGATTAGAAAAGGTTCAGACTTGGAGTTAATTCAATTACGACTTAGGTTTTGATATCATGTCGGAGGAAGGTGCTTTGCAGCCAGCTGGTCTGAGAAAGCCGAAGATACCACCCTCTATTTTCTTTAGAGATGCAAGGTATAATTTCATTTAGTCCAATGCAGATGAAGGTTTTTTGCTGTTCTGCGTATGCAAAGTTGTAGCTTTAATGAGGGAAACACTGGTTTTTTATTCTGCTTTTTTGCAGACCAATTTTGTTAATTAGAATGACGTTAATCTATTTCAAGTTTAATTAAAGCACGCAAATAATTTTTACCTCCATTTCCCCGTTCATATTTTAAGAGGGAGTAGACTCTTTTTTACTTGAGACAACTAAACTTTATATGAGCTAATGTTGGTTCCAATTTCAGACTTGTTTTCAAAAAGGATGAACTTGGTTCGGAGATCATAAGGATTGCATTGCCTGCAGCAATGGCTTTAGCTGCTGATCCAGTTGCCTCCCTCATTGACACAGTCTTCATTGGTCACCTAGGTTTGTTCTCATGTCCTCTAATTCTTCAGTAAGCTAGCTACAGACTTCAATTGTGATATCGCTGCATTTTGACAATGACCATATATTCTTGCTGTATAGCATTTAAGAACTTCATATCCTGGCATCAAAGTTGAAAGATGGCGGAAATTGAAAATCTTTACGTATTGCATAAATTCTTCATTGTGCCAATTGGGATTAAGATTTTTACACACTGGAACAGCAGAGAACTTTCTTTGTGGATCAGTTAACGGCAGTGTTCATTAAAATAGGTTTATCTGCTTTAGGTACTTGGTGATAACTTTCTCATACTGCACATTCAAAATGATACCAACATGGGGGAAATCAATACCATTTCCAAATGAATCTTTAGTATGCTTTGATGTACCTGGAAATCCCAAAGAAAATTCTCCTAATGGAGTGTCATTTTACTCCATAATCAATTACAGTAGCAATTGCCTCGGCTTTCCTGACTGGAAATTTTTTTTATAATGTTGATTAATATCCTACAGATCATGTTGAAATTGTTAATGAGTTCCACTCTGTGGGTTGTATCTTGTTGCTAAATGCAAAACGCCAAAAAGTGGACTAGATCTGATAGTAAAGCTGATTTTCTCTTTTATTTTGGACAGGTCCAGTGGAAATAGCTGCTGTAGGAGTTGCAATTGCCATATTCAATCAAGCCTCAAAAGTCACCATATTCCCATTGGTTAGCATAACGACTTCTTTTGTTGCTGAAGAAGATACTGTTCAAAGAAATAGCAAAGTTGAAGCAGAAAAGGCTGAGGACTTGAAGAAAGATGCGAAAATTGGCGATGCGAAGGAGTCGGTCCCTGATGATGAAATGCTTGAGAACTTGGAAAAAGGTTCAGCCACAAACAATGAAAAGAACATTGAAAAGAACGATTCAGTGACGGAGGATGGTACACAAACTCTCTCTTTCTCATCAATCATCTGCCATAGTCCCATTTTATAGCATCACCCTCTAAAATATGTGTCAGAATTCTAAAATTTGCTGAAAAGACAGCATGAATATAATATTATCATATCATCACAGCATAAATAATGTCAGTGTTTTCCTCTTCAGGTTGTAAGACAAGTACCACAGGCAAGTCTTCCACTCTTCCTGACACCAAAAGTGTTGAACTGAAACGAAAAAAGAAGCAACATATCCCCTCAGCGTCTACAGCATTAATTGTTGGCGGCTTTCTTGGTCTAATTCAAGCTATATTCCTCGTATTTGGGGCAAAACCTCTACTGCATATTATGGGTGTGAAATCTGTAGGTGCCTTACGTTTCTATCTTATTCTACTCTCTATTATTGTTTTTGTTACTCTGCATCTGCTAATTTCTGCTGCCTTTATTCAATAGAGACGTGACTGCTGTCTTTTCCATTGGACAGGATTCAGCGATGCTAACCCCTGCAAGGAAGTACTTGACATTGAGAGCACTAGGTTCTCCTGCAGTTCTTTTGTCACTGGCAATGCAAGGGGTCTTTCGAGGCTTTAAAGACACAAAAACCCCTTTATATGCCACTGGTGAGGGACATTTCTTTCTGGCTTCAGCATTCATTTCATCCGTTCTCCTTTCGCACAAGCAATGTCTTGATGCTCAGCAGATTTCATTCTAACCAATGTGAAATCAAACATATTAGACGAGAAACAGTGTGATAAATCAGTCTCCATTCTATTTATGGACATAAAAATCCAACTTCGAACCGGAAGTTTTGGGACTCGAATCACTCACATTCCTTTTGTTCTTTTTTGTGTACCACAGTTATAGGAGATTTAACAAATATCGTCTTAGACCCGATATTTATCTTCGTCTGCCGCTGGGGTGTCAGTGGTGCTGCCATTGCTCACGTCCTTTCCCAGTAAGTACTATTATCTTGAACTTTGAAGCTAAGGTAACTGTTTAGTGTTTACAACTATTAGTTTTGAAAGGAATGTTATTTAATAATTTTCTTTTTTTCCTTGTAATCCTTTTAGGTACTTGATTTCAGTTATCCTCTTGTGGAGGCTGATGAAGAAAGTTGATCTTTTACCACCAAGTGTCAAAGATTTGCAATTTAGTCGGTTCCTCAAAAACGGTGAGGGGCTTAACTTTTGCACAAATAACCGTTTTGTTTTGTTTGGAAATTTTTCCTCCTGGTAATTTAGTTGTAATTAGATTATCATCTATTTACTACTTTGATGCCAAATTTTTGAACAATGCATTTTATCTAACTTTCATTTCTCTTCTGGAATGCAGGTTTTCTGTTGTTAGCACGAGTTATAGCAGCAACAATCTGTGTGACCTTGGCAGCATCGAGGGCTGCACGACTGGGCTCAACAACTATGGCTGCATTCCAAATATGTTTGCAAGTTTGGTTGACATCATCACTTCTCGCCGATGGCTTGGCTGTTGCTGGACAGGTAAAGGAACGTACTTTGTAGGCTGTAGGGATTTCTCGTTCATGGTTTATGTGATTATTAGTATTCAATTTTAGACCCCATCGATGCATTTCCTGCAGATATTAAGCATGCAGTAAAAATAAAATAAAGACTAGGCTGGTAGGAGCTGCAATCATATACTTCAACACTCCAAATATGAAATACTGAATTCAAAACATGTCACATTTTATTAACCCTTAAAAAATTGCTCAACCTTCCTTCTCATAGTCCGCTTTCGGAAAGTATTAGCTTCCAATTTTTGGCTCAGGATACCGTTCAGCCTAATTATTAGTGTGTTTTTCTTCAACTCTTATAGGCAATTATTGCTTGTGCATTTGCTGAAAAGGACTACCAAAAGGCAACAACTGCGGCAACCCGGGTGTTACAGGTATGTCAATAACATTTTTTTTAATATATCCTCCATGTTTTGGTTTCCGTTTTCCTCTAAAATAACCACAGCCTTGAATTGTGACTTGTTTTGTTGTGCAGATGAGTTTTGTTCTTGGTGTTGGGCTGGCTGTGCTTGTTGGACTTGGTCTGCAATTTGGTGATGGAGTATTTTCAAAAGATCCTAATGTTCTTCATATTATAGCCATCGGCATCCCGGTAATTCCCATCTACAAATTCATTAATAAAGTTATCCTTCTATTTTCTTTTTCAACTTAGACTGATTTTTGCCTTATCCATACCTCAGTTTGTTGCTGCTACGCAACCCATCAACTCGATAGCTTTTGTTTTTGATGGTGTAAATTTTGGAGCGTCTGATTTTGCATACTCTTCATATTCCATGGTGAGTTTATTAGACATTGTTCTCTCTAATTTGCAACTTCAGTCTTTCTAGTTTCTTTTCTCTAATGAAATTGTCCTCGCTTAATTTACTTGCTTTTCAGGTTCTGGTGGCTATAGCAAGCGTTGCAGCCATTTTTGTTCTCTCTAAAACCAGTGGATTTGTTGGAATTTGGATTGCTTTAACCATCTTTATGGGGCTACGCACATTTGCAGGTGTATGGAGGTAATGTTCTTTGTTAATACCATGTGATATTCCACGTCCTTTTGCTTCACATTAAAATGATCGTCAATACTCAAAATTCCGTTTATATGGACCGAAACTGTTTAATCCATTGTTTACTTAATAATTTTTCAGTTGCTTGATTTTAATGATTTATGATGCTTGTAAACATACAAAATTGAAATAAAAAAATGTCAAAAAATTTATCAAAATTAAAGTATGTCAAAGAATATAGCCGGCTTTATTATGATTCGGATGCTACAAGTTGATTGACGTGGAATTGCCACCGATCGTGTTGCAGGATGGGAACTGCAACTGGACCATGGCGTTTTCTCAAAGAGCGATTGTTGCCTTAGGACATGTAAACCTCAGGGAATTGTGTGTAATAGTGACATATTTTGACCTAGTACACCTCGTTATTTTTTGTCTACTATAAATAGATATGTAATTCCGTTTTGCTACAGTAGACTGCTTTGTGCAGTTCATCCCGTCACATGTTTGTATCATACATGAAAGGACTTCTTTAGGCATGTAGTATGCGTTCACATCATGCTGTACTTAAGGCCATGTTTATGACCCCATTACTTATTCATAAATGAGATGGGCTTTGCTCTTTTTAAAATTTAAGTTTGTGTTCGTACTACAACAACCAGTATAAAACTGATCAGATCCAGTGCTAATTTGAAATTAGAGCCACTTTGGTCTCAACTCATGCTGGATTCACTTACTCGGATGATGTCGTGAAAAAAAAATTTCTAAACAAAATCATATATGACTCCTGTAATGTGATGATTGTCTTTAATTTCTTTTTACTTTTACAGTTTTTGGCACATCCTCAATCAATTTCCCGTAACAACTTACCCTATATATTGATTCTACACTACAAAAACGGTATAAAAAAAAGTAGAATGGAGACTGAGTTTGGATCTATGACCAGCATAACCTCAGACCTTGGGCTTTGTCGTCTTGAGAGTCTCTATCTCTCCAACTTAAGCATCTCCAGCTACCGGTTTGTCCAGGAGACCGAGCTTCGTTTATGCATGTAAGGCCACTGTCTAGACCTCCTTTGTTTGAATTCTTCTTTCTTCCCCCCCCCCCCCCCCCCCCCTACATTTTAAGAAAATCCATATAGTTCTGATATTTCTCTCTCAAGGTGCAACGTTCTCAACATATACCACCTCTTAAAAGTTGAGCTTCCTACAAATCAAATATATCCATTATCCAAACAACCAAAAAATAGTACTAACTATATACTTTTCACCGTCCAAAAAGGGGCAGTATGTAAGAAGGCAATTCGATCAAAACAAAACATGAGAAGGTAATGAACTGCCTGTCATAAAAAAATAACCAATAAAATGCGACCAACGTGAGTAAAATCTGTTAACTCTTTCCTTTCCCTACTGGAAGTGCCTATTAATCGTTTTCAAGTTAGTGAGTTTAAGAGGCCTTGTCTTTTGATTTTATTTTTATTTTTATATGTATATATTTATATACATATTTTATAATATTTTTCTTGTTATCCTATTGGATTTTCTCAACTCGAAAACTAGCTCACAAAATGAGTTTTTCCTCACATTTATAACCAAACACCCTTCTTTTACAATTGATATAAGATAACACAACAATCTCTTTATTTAAACATCAAATCCAAAATTGGCTATTTCTCATCAACACGAGCGCCAAGGCATGTGAAATTATTTAAACTAGACTCTGCTATTAGTGTTGAATGTTGTTAAACCTTCTCAATCTCAAAACAATAGCTTAATGAATAGAACTTTTCCTCGTATTTATAACTAAGTACTCAATCATTTTTATAACTGATGTTAGAATATTTTTTTATAAAATATTAAAAACTACATTATTATATTGTTTGTTAAAAAATAAAACTTACAAGGTACTATGATCGTGTTGAAATAGTCATAAAAAGAGTACATAATTGTTTCAAAACAATCACATTTTGTTCAATTTAATGCTAAAAGAAATGGTTTCATGCCGTTTGCGTTTTTATTATAGTGTGATGGTATTAAACTTGTTATTCATTTCAACATTTATTTCTTCAAACGACTCTCTTCCGTAGCCTACAAATATGACATTTTTCTTGTCATTTCAGATACAACAACAATAATTCTTACATGATGTAGAGGGAAAAAAATAATTGCATTTTTTCTTGCTTTAGAGAGAGAGATATATAGCAATCTTATATATTGCTTAGATAAAAATAATTATTTTATTTTGTAATTTTTTATCCTCTTACCAAAAGCCATATTGTTTTATTTTATTTGGGTAACAATGGTATTATTATTTTTAAAGTTTCAAGTCTTACGAATAATGCAAATTTGTTAAAATACGACAAGGTGACTGAGCTTGTTATATCCCCGAAATGACGTGCAATATATTCTTGATCCGTTGCATTAGATAAATTCTACGGATGACGTGTATCATCTCAAGAAAATAATTTGGTTGTGTCTTGAGTCGGTCGCCTAAAATTATGATGAAACTATTTTGATGGTTCAATCATATTTGTACCATGACACACGGTAACGTGATTTTAATCCCTAATTTTTCTAATGATCAAGGTAAAAAGTTCTAATTTTTTTTTCATCTTAATTTATATTGAATTTATTTTATTCATTGTATGAATTTTATTTTTTAATTATGTTCATTTTGTGTGCTAGGAACAATAATTTGAGACGATACTATGTCATGATTTAATGATTAAAATTATGAGATGAATTTGAGCATGAAATTTTAATATTATGTTTTTTTTATAATGTCGATGTTATTACTTGTCTATTATGTTTTTGATTGGTGTTTGATGATTCTACTTAATCGAGAATAAATCAAGTATCGAAAAAAATATATATTATTTTTCCGACACTTTAGTTGGTTGTATACTTCTAGCAAATTTCATTAGTTGAAAACAAATTTATAGTGTTAATTAGCCATGTGAAAAAAATTATTTTATTTATTATCTTAGTGTACTCTTACATCCGGACCATGTATTGTTATGGGTGAATTAATAATTCTTTATATGTGATAAGATACATATATTGTCAATTCTTTATTTTATTGAGCTTTAAAGATAATAAACTTATTTCTATGTCAATCTTCCGTTCGTATAATTGCATTGCTCTTGAAAAAATAATAATAAGAAAATTATCACTACCATGTGGCTAGTGAGATACCAATATCATGTTTGATGAAAAATAACTATTATCTTCTATTAATCTATTTTATGTGCATATTGATGAGATTATTTACATATTGATTCATAATGTATTTTGTAACTTACAATTATCTATTAAATACTATTATTAAAAGTTAAGAATGTTGTTAGTGTTGAAAGTTAATATCTATTGTATTAACCATGTTGTTGATTTATTTGTTTAAATTTTATTATTGATATAAATATAAATAAAATGAGACTTGATTTATAATTTATTTACATTGATTAATTATAATTAACATTGAAATTATTTGTTATATTGATGTCATGTTACCGAGATAAATAAGAAGCCACCAAAGGAAATATATTCGATATTTTTATATGAACATGTTGATCACCATGGATGTAAAGTCAAGGAAATCAAATTTATGTGGCATTGGAGGCAATGGAAGCTTGGTCAATAAAAAGTATATCAAATCTCCAACGATATTTACGGTACGATAAGCACTATAAAAGGTAAAGTAAGTATTTTAAATATCAAATTATTAAAGTTCTTTGATTATTATCCTATATATTTGATATTCATTTTCGATGATAAAAGCATGTGATACTTCTATTTGGAAGTAATTTTACACTCTTGTATGAATACTTATTTGTCTATACTTGAGTTATTTAATTTATAAGTCCCGATTTAAAAAAAAAAAAAAAACGAGATGAAGAAATGTAAATTGTCATATAAATTCTTGTTATTGAATGTTTGTATATTAAAATTGTTTCGCATGATTGTTTTATTAAGATTTGAAGAGGTCATATATTAATTTAATTAAAATCAATTATATTTTGAATGTCAAATATTTTTATGTGACTCATGTTGAAATTACTTGATACCCTTATTTGATTATGATAATATAAACAACTATGAAAATAATAATCTTGTTAACAGATTATTAGTAAGAGAAATTGGCAAGGTAAATGAATTGATAAATAGCTTATCTTGTCATAGTTTCTATGTGAAAAATAAAATTTGATATATTATTTATTTTGAGGAAGTATATCTTATTGATTGGCGAGGCAACAAAAAATAAATTCGAATGTTGATAATGAAATAATATAATAATTTATGTCATCACTTTGTCAACGGTGGTAGCAAAAAAATTATTTATTATGTTAATAGTGAGGGCATAAAAGATGCTATTGGATTAAAATTTTGTTTGAAAAAATTATTGTGTAATTCAAGATCAATTACCATAATTCTCTCATAATGATAAATTATCGATCATAATTTTTCTCATAATGTTTGAATTTTTTTCCACATGTAAATTTTTAATGTGAAGTTATTGGAAATATTTATAAAAGCATTCCTATTATACAAAAGGTATAATGATGCTTATGGTATATTTGGCAAAAATGTTGAGAGAATTGATGGAGTTAGTGACACTCCTATTTTACAATTGAGGTACAATAATGTTTTGATAATATTATCTAATAAGTGAAATTAGAGACACTCCTATTATATAATTAAGATACAATGATGTTGTAATGACATTGTCTAATAAGATAATTAGTGATATTTTGAGAAATTTAAATCTCTAGCTAAATATTGACATTCCTATTGTATAAATGAGATACAATGATGTCAAATTTGTATAAGAAACTAAAGATCGAAAAAAGTCTCTACTTACTTTAATGTGATTATATTAAATATTTTTCATTATATTAGAAAATACAATGATGCCATCATGTTTTAGCACAATGATAGTGATGCGAAAAATAAATATGATTACAATTGGCTCATGTATGTGTGGTGAAACTTAAATTGGGTAAAAAGCCAAAGCCAATGAAAAAGCAAGTGGATGCTAATAAAAAAAAAAAAAAAACAAGTAGATGTTATGCTTTGTCTAAGGAAAAAATAGTAAGGATGAAAATTTCTACCACTTAGCACTAATAAATTGATTAAGTACTAGTTACTAAATCCTTTGGGTGTATATTGAATATTGTGGATGTAAATCTTTAGCTAAAGTCAATGGATTGGATGATATATCGAGAGAGATGAGATTAAACCCATAAATGAATAAAATCACTTATGTGAATACTCTACCTTGGGACTCGTAGATCTTATGAATTAGGTTCAAGAAGAAGAACGAGTATAGAGTGATTTGATTGCATGCACAATTATTTGAGTTACAATACTCACATGTCTATCCCAGTGGTGTAGTGCATGAATCTCATAGCGAAAACAAGTTAAGTTTCTCTAAGTGAAACTTTTAATGTGGTTTGTAATTCTTTTTGAATGAGATGTTGAAGTTATGAGAATGTCCTTGATAGACACACTTATAAGAGTGATGAAGTGAGGTCGCTTTCTATGAGAATCGGGCTAATTCTCTAGAACACTCGTAGAGTACCTAAATATAATATGTATGATACAATATTTGTTTCACTTAAAAAGCTTTAGTTTAAGAGAATGTTCACTATTAGTTTGAAAGAAATATTGTTGAAATACTAAATAAAGATGCAAGCTATTAGCACCCTTATTATGTATTATGTTCATTTTCTTATCAAAAAAATATGATTAATATTTTATTAAAAAAAAGAAGTGAAGGTTGTTGGAATATTTTTTATAAAATATTAAAAACTACATTATTATATTATTTGTTAAAAAATAAAACTTATAAGGTATTATGACTATTTTGAAACAGCCATGTAACAATCATAAAAAGAGTACATGACTTTTTCAAAACAATCACATTTTGTTCAATTTAATGCTAAAAGAATTAGTTTAATGCCGCTTGTGTTTTTATTATAGTGTGATGGTATTCATTTCAAGATTTATTTCTTCAAACGACTCTTTTCTCGTGGCCTATAAATATGACATTTTTCTTGTCATTTCAGACACAACAAGAATAATTCTTACATGATGTAGAGGGAAAAAATAACTCTATTTTTTCTTACTTTAGAGAGAGAGATACAACAATTTTATAGATTGTTTAGATAAAAACAATTCTTTTATTTTGAAATTTTTATCCCCCTACCAAAAGTCATATTGTTTTCTTTTATTTGGGTAAGAGTGATACTATTATTTTTAGAGTTTCAAGTCTTATAAATTATGTAAATTTGTTAAGACACGATAAGGTGATCAAGCTTATTGTATTTCGAGATAGCGTGTAATATATTTTTAATCCGTTACATCGGATAAATTCTACGGATGATGCATTTCGTTTACAAAAACAACTTGATTATGCCTCCAGTCAATTACCTAAAAATTATGATAAAATATTTTGATAGTTTAATCATCTTTATATTATAACACATGATAACATGATTTTAATTCCTAATTTTTCTAAAGATCAAGATAAAAATTTTTAATTTTTTATTCATCTTAATTTATAATAAATTTATTTTATTAATTGTATGAATTTTATTATTTTATTTTTATGTGCTAGAAACAGCAACTTATACAAGATTATACAACATTTCTCTTATGTTCTTAAAGCACGCCTGAGAACAATAGAAAAGTAATCAATAATAAAACCTAGCGTAAAAATTTTTATCTATCGTAATTTTCTTGTCACCTCCTACAAACAAAAAATTAGATCAACTAACATATGATTTCAAAACTAACTTCCAAAATCATAATAAACACAAGAACTAAGCAACAGATTACTAAAACTAATGATACTTAGCGATTGATGAAAAGATGCATTGGAAAACGAAAGGTACCCTCATTCCATTATGGTGGCAGCCCAAGAAAAAGCATAAAATAACCACGTTACACTCTGATTATGATGATATAGATGGTGATCCTTCGGACCAAATCCCCCTTCAAAACTAAGCAACATACGAGTTTATTATAGCAGACCATAAAAGGAAAGCCCTTTAACTCCTACCACATACCCCACAACATCACTGTCACTGGAACAAGGTTAAAACACACCCATTTCTCAGCTCACTCCACAAATAGACCTACCCACCCACTTTTTTCGGGGGTGGGTGGTTGGCATCAAAGCAGGTACATGATTCCATCCTCTCTCTTAAACCAAAGTTAGATCCACATAAGGTAAACACCCCCCAACCCCTTCACTGTCTCCCTCTCACATTTGATTATTTATCTTCTCAATAAAGATTGAAAGAATCCAAAAACATATCCACTCACAATCAATCAACATCCTATAGTAGGTTCCACCACAACATGAATTGCCATTCTTTCTTTTAAAAAAAAAAACAAACCATCAACGTGACGCAGCAAGAACGAGTAGTGGGAGAGAATTAAAATAGAAAAATGGTAATCGTAGTAAGATTAAACCTTAAGCAGACATTAGGACAACAACAACACTTGTAGGAATCCAAAACATAAAGGCATGGAAATAATAACTTTACTTCAGTTTTACATTTTCGACGGAGAGAGAATGCTTTAATTCAGTTTTACATTTTCAAAGGAGAGAGAATGCCCCCCCCCCACAATAATGCAAAATTCTACAACGAAAAACATCATCCAAATTCCATGGGAGAGCTCTTGAGAAAAATTTCCTTCAAATCACCCTCTCCTCCTTTATCCAACCAACCAGTCAAAACATGTAAATATTGAAGAAAATGAGACTATTAAGGGGATACAAAGCTCATAGTTTCATGGCAAAATGCATGAAACCATGCCTTCTTCAACCTAATCAGTTGAAAAAGTTAATAAAAGCAAAAGAAAAAAAAAATTCCTAATCAGAGATATAGAACGGAAGAAGAGAACCTGCACTGGCTTTTTTTTTTTTTTTTTTAACACAGCCCTGAGAAGCTTCTTCAACCTTCCGACTTTGCTTTAAGCAATTAAAATGAAAAAAAAAATTGAATGATTTCCCCTGAAACTTTTGCCAATTCTTTAACGCCACCCCGGGTTCCCAAATCCCTACTCCGATTATCTTCTTAGCTTCACCGTTCCCACGAGCAAAAAATTCAACAAAAATATGTACCTCGGAGAAAATACTTTAATCCTATCTCGATGAGTAAAAACCAATTTGTTTTGGCTCAGACTACAAGCTGTTGCTGCTGATCAATTTGCATTTGCTCAAGCCAAGATTCTAAAACAGAATCAATTTGAGAATTTGAACTCAATCCCACACCAGGTGATGCAGTACCGGGTACTGGAATTGCAAGCTTCTCTTTCAACATCTCAGGAGGTGATTCCTTGACAAGAGATTGGACCCATGATAGGTCAGGCTCCTCACTGTTATTGTTTCCAAGCTCGAAGGATGAGGATCTCCGTAAACGACCCAATTCATCTCCATTTACCGACCAGTCTACTTTCCCATTAGGGGATCCCCATTTGGACCAAGAATTTACAGGAGATCCAACCACGGAAGCCATAGGGTTGTTGGATCCCAGATCCCTTGAGCTGAGGCTACGTAGCTGCTGCTGCTGCTTCTCTCGCTGAGCAAGAGAAGAAAGTCGAGATCCCATTGGAGAGATGGGCTCCATGCCTCTTGGTGACATCCTTCCAGGGGATCCAACACCAAATGCAGCCTGCAGTAGAGGGTGCTCAACATTTTTTGGGGAGAACACACTTGTGCTGACAGGTGATAACATGCTCTGCTGCTGTTGCAACTGATTGAGAAAAGCTGCTTTATGTGTTGGAGAGAAAACAGCAGCTGCTTGGTCAGAATACCTAGGAGAAGACATTTCAGCAGTAAATAGTTCCTCAAGATTTGAAGGAGTTAGTGTTTTAGACCGACCAGAACGAATGAAAGAAGCAGAATTGTTTCGCGACTGTGAAAAACATGTTAAATCATTTAAAATCTGTTGTGGGGAATCAAAACCCGGCAACAAATTAAAATCTTCAGGTGGGATATCTCGGGCATTAAGGGATGATCTCAAGCGGCTGGATTGAAGGTTGCTTCCCGGAAGATGAAGCGTGGGTACATTTGGCTGTGGCCAAGCAACAGATGAAAGAGAAATGCCATTTGCAGCAGGAGACATAGGTTGATTGAATGGGGTTGGGGACATAGCAGAGACTGATGATGGGGAACCAGGCAGAAGACTCAGAGCAGCAGCCATGTCCATAACACTGGCTGCAGACTGAGATGATCGAGGAGAAGGGATAGCAGATCCTGTAGAAACATACAGGGGCCTGAGCTCCTCAGGTGTATGGGCAAAAAAGCAGACTTGCCTATTGCAGCTTGTGCCATCTTTGCAGAGCCGAGTTCGGTATTGAGCTGGGTGAAGCCAGCACTCAAAAACCCCATGTGCATATTCACACATATCCCCACGCCTACAAGCCCCTTTACGAAAATCAGGGCACGGCACGCAGCTGTAGTGAAACTTTCGTGGATCTCTTCGACGTGCGTTCTCTCCTGGGTGAACAAATGGACACTCAGTCCAATCGTGAGAGTATGCCCGGGAACATGGGCGAACCTTGAATGAGAACATGCGGAACTCGTCAGTTGCATAGATGCTGTTCTTGATGTCAGGTAGAGATGGATCAATTGGATATTCTTTCTTCTCCGATGTAGAGTTGGCAGGCAGATTATTGAACTTTGAGACGCTTGGAGAATAGATCAGCAGAGAGGGAGAACGTGGTGAACCATTTTCTGGTGATGAAGAAAGAGTCGGTGAGCTAGAATTTGAGTTGCTAATTGAGACCCGTAAATTGCGAATAGGAGAGGCATTAAAATCTTGTTCTGCAACAAAACTATCAGAATCAGTTTTTGAGAGAAGCCCTTCGAGGGCGACTTTCATGCTCTGTAGCTTTGGAGGAACAACAATAACATCACCAGGACGATCTCCATTGACGTCGAGGCAAGTAGGATCTGCACCTGCTGATAATAGCAGCTTAACCACATCAATTACATTAATAGATCCACCAGAAGCAGCACAATGAAGAGCAGTAGTTTTGTCAGTTCCACAAGCCAGATTCACATCAGCCTTAGTATGTTCCAGAATGAGCTTAAGAACATCAAGGCTACCGTAAGTAGCAGCAACCATAAGAGGAGTTCTTTGGTCAAGAACAACCTGCTTCGACCCTTTTCGGCGGCCATACCAAAAACCAGCCTCGTTAATTGAGGAAGCATCCCAGTGTATAAATCTCTTAAAGCCTTCGACATCATTGTTAGCAGCAAGTTCAAGAAAGCTAGAGAAAGAATCTTCGGTTTCTACAGTTAGACAATCCATATCTTTGGTAATAGGTGTAGTTTCTACAGCAGATGGAGTCGAAGTCGATGATGATTTAGCCGACTGCTCGGGACCACCGCACATGCTTCAATTACCTGAAATTCAAACAAAAGAACATTACTTTGTTTCCTTCAAAATCCAAAATCCACCTTACACAACTCAATCCATTCAATAATAAATAAATAAATCATCATAGGATGAGAATGAGCTAAATTAGGAGAACCTAGATAGATTGGGAAGGGGGGGGGGGGGAACCTTTTTCAGTAAGTACCAAAATTTAAGAAAAATAAATCCTTCAATGGAGTAAAGTTACCCACTCCTGAAAAAAACATTAATTAATTTTCACTGATCATTTCCCTTTCACAGCCCTTGACTCACTATCTACTTGTTGTTTAAGCAGAAATAAATTATGAAAAAAAAAAACCTTTGAGACTTCATCTTATGTATTATTAGAAAGATTAAAATCTACCTGTTTATAACATATTCAAACATTAAACACATTTATAGAACAAAGATAACAAGAACAACAGTTTCAAAATCAGAAAAAAGAAAAGGAAGCGTACTAATAATACTAACTAAAAGCTACAAGATTGATGATATCAACAAAGCGAATAAAATCTTTAGCTCATGTCATAGCAGATCTAATCAAAATCTAATCAAAAACTAAGAAAAAGTAAAGATTCTGATTATCAAGATGAGGAATTTCATTATCAGAATCTAAGAATCTCGCAGATTGAGGTGGGTTGAGCAGAACAGAATAAAATCAACAAATGTTCTAAAACAATTAGCTAATCTAATCATTCTGTAAACTGAAAATAGCAGATGATTAGCTACTAACTCACCAATTAGTAAAAATCGAAGCGAGAAACAGCTTTTAGTAGCTTAAAAATGAAGAGATTTGCATGATAAGTATTGATTCACTTCATAATCGATCAAAAAAGGAAGATTCGAGAGCCAGAAAGCCAAGTCGTTTTGAAAGGGAAAGAGGAAATACTAGAAATAAACAGCATTTAGCTGCTACCTCCATCGATGCAATCTAAGAAACAAAAGAGGGTGATTTTCCCCTTTTTTTTTTTTTTTTTTTTTGGTCTCTGTTTCGCAGAGAGTGACAGAGTAGGATAGCTGTGTTTCGTGTAACGTTTAGAAATTGAAATTGAAATGAAATGAAGAGCTTTACAAATTTGGAGTGAATTTATTTAAATTTATTTAGTCCAGGACTTAAAAAAGAAAATGAAATGACATCGAAATTCACTACAAATTACATTGAAATGCGAGTCAAATTTTGAATTTTGTATGAATGAAGGGAGACGGGTGTGGGCTGTGAGTGAAGATAAGGTGGATGACGGTTTGGTGCTGAAAGTCAAGGAGCGAGGTTACCGGTTGAAGGGGTGTTGTGATTAGTGAGATGGATTTAAATGGGGACTTGGAATCCGCCAATAAGAGAATAGAGAAGAGCGGACGTGAGTGAAGTGATCAATTGTAGTTAATTGTGTAGTCAAATCGAAGGGAAAAACAAATAAAAAGGGATACAGTAACGGAGACGTAGCGCGCAGCACCAACAGATTTCAAATTTAACAGTAAAGCCAAGTTATTGAACCGATTGGTCATTCTTGGGTTAACTACCACAGCCCTTGTACCATTTCCTTTGTTAATTCTGTCCTTACGGCCTCCTACGTATATGGAAATTTTGTACTTCCCTCGGAGTCCATTGATATCCTTTCTCGTGTTTGTATTTATTTATTTATTTTTGTTATGTTATGTTATGTTTATTAAATTTAAATTAAATTATACAATAATTTAAATTTTTATATGTAAATTGTCTCACATAATTAAAATTATTAAATTAAAAACATGACAATCAAGGATCTAAACCCTTAAAAATCTGTACCTAAAGGATCTGTATTCTTGAAAATCTATGTCGTAAATTATTGAAAATTGATATCAGGAGATGCCGAACAAATTGGTAAAAACTGTTGCAAGAATCCAATTTATCTTTATAACACTACTGTGCACGTTACTGCCTAACTTTGCTTCTGGAGTGTTATATACTGCTGTTAACTTGCTCACTCAACTTCGTTAATTTAGGATGCTCATAATAGTCCATTTGCCAATATATATATATATATATATATATATATATATATATATATATATATATATAAAACATGGGTTTTTTTCTGTCAAAATTAAAATCTAACTAATTTTTTATTTTCGTTTTATGTATAACATTTAATTTATTAAGCTTTACAATTTAGTAATCTAGCGTAGAATATCTTCTCTGTTAGTACCAAAATCTATTTTTTCTACTATGCTTTTTCAATTGATTATACTTTTGCTTTTATTGCAGTTATTCATACACATTAATACTAACTTTATAAATCGTTGAAAATTTGCCATCAATGAATTAATTTTTCCAATGAAATTCAGATATCGCTGTCAAACTACACGTAAGCACAACACCATTTTCTTCTTAACAAAATTAAAGCTAAACATAAAATACAATAAAATCGCTGTCAAACTAAAGCTTAAATAGGAAACGAAAAAATAAATAATCATGGCCCGTGCATGTTTCGAACCTGCAACTTTTGTGTTATTAGCAGGATGCTCTAACCACCTGATCTAATGATAGACCAGCTTGAAGTTAGATTTTTAATAACTAAAACAGTAATATTAATTAATCGGCTAGGCATGGCACAGACAGCAGATGCAACGCTAGGTACGAGGAATGCAGTCCCCCCAAAAGATCGAACATTATTACAAACTGGCTTTTTATTATTATTATTTTTTTCCTTTTGGGTATAAAGTTTTGTGTTTTATCGGATCAATCTAGCAAGTGACCAATAATAATATTTGTATTTCTATCGAGATTATAATGGCTGGCTGGGATCTCCAACCCGCTGTTGTTCCAAAAAGAAACAGTTGAAATCAAGGATCTCAGATTTCCTTAATTTTCGATCTCAAATTAATATTTGGATCATGGCACAGAATTCCCTCTCAAGCTTTCATTTTCATACTTAGACAGGCAAAATTGATGGAAAACACGGTTCCCATCTGCAAGCATACATAGCCTACAAAAAAGGGATCAAAATGCAGGCCCCCTCTTTTGCCATAAGCTCAACTAATGTGCTTTCTGACAACTACATCTCAACTACCTTCGAATGAATCAACCGATGGAGATTAAAAAACAAAACCCATTTGGTCCCATCTTGAAAAGTATATTTCTTCGTCTTAAAACATATACAAATGTGACGCTCCCAATCAAAGAACACATCTGATTTCTTGTTTTTTATTTTTCCTATTTTAAGAATGATATCTCATTTCTTGTTGATGGTGACACCTAAGCTTGGCTTGCTCCACTATCTCCCTCTAAGGAATCAATCCTAGTGTGGACCCAACATGATTTTGTCATCGATTTTTAACTTCGCCTTTTATCACCATCCACATGGCATCAATTAATTTAACCAGGGTTTGGACTTGGTTCGGGTTTTACCCGTCCAAGATATTCTACTACTTTAAATTAATGATTGTCATGTTCTACTAGTTTAAATTAATTTACAAATTTGTAAATGAGTTTAGCTTAAAAATTTTCTTTATTATTAACCAAAAAGATGAATGAAAATTTTGTAAGCAAAATAAAATAAATATATATTTTTTAATCAAAGATATAATATGAAAATAAAGATTATTAGTTGGACTTCTCCAGACGATTACGAATCCGACTTTACACAATCATGTTTATGTACAAGGGTTTAGTAGAGTTGATTCAAAAAAAAAATTTTATAAATAATTTAATATCATTTTCAATTCTTTGTTTCTCAAACGACTCTACCAAGGCCTAAATGGGACTGGTTCCCACTTCCCAAAAGAGAGCTAGAGGTCTAAAATGTATTTTCGTCATCGATTGGTTCCCTAGCGCATCAAGCTCATTTCACTTTGGGTTCTTTATACTGTTATTATAAAGAACCTCAAAATTTCTATACTATTCTCTCGCACAAACACACACACGTAATACTATTTACTTAAATGACATTTTTAGTAATTTTAAAATTTTTTTTAAGGATTATATATGTAAAGTTTTACTAGTGTTATTTTTTTTATTTTTTTAATAATTTTTATTTTAATCTATAATTTTATTTGTATTATAATTTAGCTCATAGTTGTTAAAGGGAGAGAGATATAAAAAAAGAGACGAGAGAGATCCACATATATGAATTTTTTTAATAATTTTTTAAAAAATTATTATTTGCTCCTAAAAAGGGGGATTGGTTCCCACCACACAAAAGAGAGTTAGGGGTCTAAAATGTATTTTCGTTGTCAGTTGGTTAACAAGCGCATCAAGCTCATTACACTTTGGGTTTTGCTTCAGTACTGTCATTATAAAGAACCTTAAAATTTCTACACTATTCACACACACATAATACTATTTAATTAATGATATTTTCGTGATTTTAAGAGTATGATATTTTTGTTATTTTAAGTGTTTTTTAAATATTTATTTCATTCACAATACTATTTATACATCTTTTAATGATTTTTTAAAATAATTTTAAAGTTTTTTTAAAAGATTTTATATGTAAAGTTTTGCTCATATTAGTTTTTCATCTCTCATTTTTTTAATAACTTTTATTTCAATCCATAGCTTTATTTGTATTGTAATCTAGTCTGTAGCTACTAAATGAAGAGAAAAATAAAAAGAGGAGGGAGAGATTTATATATGAATTTTTTAATAATTTTTAAAAATATTATTATTTACTCTTAAAAAAATTAATATAATTTATATGATTTTTTTTTAATTTTTAAAAGGTATAGTATGGTTAAATACATATAATAAATTTTTAAAATATGATTATTTACTTCTAAAACTTAAATGTTATGTCCGATGTACAAGTAGCAGACTCGTAAAAATCTAAATGCTACTGCTAAAGCATGATGTGTCGGCACCCTCATCACCGTACACTGGCATGGTCATCGTAATGAGATCTAATTTGGGCAAAAGAAGCAATGGCATTTGTGGAACAGTATCTGTCCTCCTTCGTAAAGGAGATAAAAAAACCCAATGGCCTATAGAGAGTTGATCTGCTTGCTGTTTGGTCTACGTGCGAGAGGACCACTTTCCATTAGGAGGAGGACTCGCTATCCTCGATTAGGAAGGGGTCCATGAAAGAAAAATTCTGGTTCTGGGTTCAAACATAAACATACGGCAACGGTATTCACCGTCAGATTAATGAGGCAGTAGCCTTTTTCAGTAAGTGTTGCTATGGAGGCATAGACGATGTGTAACTTTATTGAAAACCCACGCATGGGCCAAAAATTTTTCTAATACGGTGGAGCCCATGTACAAGATAGTCAAGGCAAAGTATTGACCAAATCGAACGGACAAATATCAATCTTGTCAATCGCAAGATTGTGACAATAATGCTGTTCAGATATTATGACTAATCGGAGAAAAAGAGGAAAATCCCAGCCTTGCGGATGCTGGATCACATGGCTGACCGTGGAACAAGCAAATTTTTCTTGTGCGTGGAAAGTTCCATTTTCGTTTTGATTATTTTACTTCTCTCTCTCGTTTATTAAGTTAAGGTCCCAACGACACGAAAAAAAAATAATTGCCAATATTTTGATTAAATTGCACAGTCAAGCGGCCCACAAGATCACGTGTTTTTTATTTACTGGACGGTGCCGTTCTCCTTTGTTTAACTGATTTTTTCGAAAAAGAAAAAACCAAACATGCATTTCAAAATAGATATCATCTCCCCGACAATCAAAACTGAAAAAAATCATGTACACGTACGAGAGAGAAAACACGTTGAAGCTGTAAGAAGTCCTAAACATCAAAAAGACAAAACGGAAAGACCCAACAAAAAAGGAAAACGCGAACTTCACTTCAGGGTCTCGTGTTTTTTTATTTCCTTTTGACTATTTTTTTAACAAGCCCTTTCAGCCCCTTCTTGTGCTCCCTCTTTCTCTCTGTCTTCCCTTCAACGTGCTTCTTAGCCTCTAATTCATCTTCTAGCTGCAAACAAAGCTGATACAATATATCAGACACATCAGATTAAGCACAACACCTCATCCACATAATAATTCTCTAAAACAAACTGAGCTCATTAATTAATTAAACGGCCCATAAACTTTTTTTTAATATAATATTTACCTTCATTACACGCTCCTCTACATGGTCAAGTCTCTCAATGACTGTGCCTTTGAGTTCAGCCTCCATCATCACATTGCCAATCGGACGGCAGTGCTTCTCTAGGCTCTTTGGGGAGAAATCAACGAATGAAACTTTGCCTTCGCTTGTAAGGGTCCCACTTGATTGCGTGGATGGACATGAGCTTCTTGGAGATCTGTTGCAGCCTCTAATTTCCTCTAGCTCCCTCATCTGGTGATATCACGACATGCAGCAATGGCACACGTTAGCTGTGGCACGGATTTGGGGCCAAATAAAAAGGGTTCTACATTCTTGATAAAAATGCAAAACGTGAATACTGAGACACCACAAAAAGTTTGGCGTGGAAGGCACAATTATTGATGATCAAAATTGGTGATAGAGAAAGAATGCAATTACTAAATTACTTGGATCCAACAGACAATAGTAGTATAGTACTATTTCTTTTAATAGCTAACTGTTGCTGTTTTGATTTCATGACTGATTGAAGTGAACAAGGAATACACCTAGTGTTTACTCTGCTAGTGTTTGCTGTCCCTTCTCTCTTCCTCTCCTTGCTAACTCGATCTTAAAGTTAGCGTGCATGGTTGGGCACTAGGCCTTGACAATCAAAGAAACCCTCGAATACGGGCTTAACTTTGTTACTTCTATGCCTACAAATTTTATTTTTCATTATGTTTGCCAAATGACATTCCTTTTTATCAAAAGGGCGACAAAGAAAAACCCTCCTTTTGACCTTTAGCACTGACTAGTAGAAACAAACAAGACATGTAGTTTTTAAAATGCTCAATAGACTCATCAGATTATTAATGACAAATAGCAATTTGTAGGAAGACGTACCATCAACCTTGTTAGTTTTCTATGCTTCCAAAAAGACCAACTATGTTAATTTAATGCTCAATAGACTCATCAGATTATTAATGACAAATAGCAATTTGTAGGAAGACCATCAACCTTGCTAGTTTTCTAAGCTACCAAAAAGACCAACTATGTGAAAATTAACATCTTTTAGGCCATCTTCGAATTTAGCATCATGGTTCCTCCCCCTTGCTTCCTTTTATTCTAGAACGGAGATTACAAACTACCATCACACTTACCCTTATTCTTTTTTAATGAAATCGATTGACTTATATGATAAAATAAATAAATAACACCCCCACCGCATCAATTAGATACCCACAAGGAGATTGAAAAACATAACCCTAAAGAAGCAAAAGGAAGAAAAAGAACACGTAAAAGGAAAAGACCCGAAAATCACCAAATATAATAATACATCTCAAGAGATTTGCACTCGAGTACAGTTGATACCCTTACCATATTGTCTAGACGGTCCAACCTAGAGAGAATTGGTTCTTCAGTGATAGCCATTGCAAAAACACTCGCGGGAAACAAACAGAATCCTTAGCCAAAATTCGTTACATGATTGTTGTCTGGCGACACACTGCTATATACCTGTGCCTTTTCTTTGCACATTGCCACGTTTCCAATGTCAAAGAATAAGGACACGTGCTAGCTTTCTTTGAGCAACACGTGGCAATTGCATGTGCTAGTATCCTTATCTTACACGTAGTAAAGCTCATGTGGAGATCATGATAAGAACGATGATGACGCATGCAGATGATTTGTCGTATAGACACGTCATCTCCTGCATGCAGAGGATGGAGATTTACCACGTGGGGGGATCACGGAGGTCACTGAAGCTTATTGTGTCAGCGTAAATGATTTGTACTTGGTACGTAGAAGGGACGGAGGATCTAGAGATTGTGAGCTTGGCCATCAATTTTTGATTATATACATAACGTCGAAGAAGCAGATCAAGCTTTTTGCTAAATTCATGGAAAGCTCTGTAGTTAACTTAACTGTATTAACTTAAGCTGCTGACTGGTAAATTTAACAACAGAAACAGCATCTCTGATTTGTTGGTGATTGCATGAACGGGCAGGATCATTTGGTTTGGTTTTATTCATTTTTAAGAGAGGAAAAGGTCAAACAGTTGCTGAGAAGCAATGTTGTCAGAGACTCTGAGAAACACCTACACAGCCCGTTACGAGAAAGGCAGTTTTGTCTTCGGAGTTCTGACCCAAAATGTTCTTCGGACTTTGTGATCGAACTACGTTAATGGATTTGCTAATTTTTGCTAGTATGCCAGTTTATTTTGCTGACTGATTTTAAATTTTGGACAGGAAGGAACTTGCTTGCAACTACTAATTACAAGGTTTCCTCTTGGTCATTTTTTTTGCTGAATGTAATTTTGACAGCAGAGTTTGCTTGCAAGTATGATGCGTAGAGGACAAACTGAAGGGAAACTATGAAGTCTTAATCCAAGGAAGTTTCTTGTAAACGTGAAGTTACAAAATAAATTGAATTTTTGTTCCACCAGCCAAGTCTAGAAGTTCACGTCCAAAATATTACAAACGAATCCCCTCATGGAACAACAATATAATTTCAAGTATATCACCTATAATCTGCACATGTAAATTAACAACATAACAAGTACACAAAGGCGTACGGCAAAAGTACGAGAGAATTACTTAACCCCACCTCCTTACTTTGATGAGGATAGCACCCAAATTGAGTTTTTTGTCTCATTTGTTCTCTTAACAGTTGATGCCACACTGCTCAACATCTGGACCAGTAACTCTAGTGGTGAAAGGATCAACTCTTACCCACAACAAAGAAAAGATGGAAGCAAGAAGAACAGACCACACGACAACAATGGTGGGTGTCCGGTTCTGGCGACCCATCAAACCTTTGAGGAAAGGATAGAGATGGATGATCACCCAGAAGGCGAAGAAAAGCTTGCCAAAGAGAGGACCCCATGACTGATAACCACTGTTGATGGCATGGGATATCCCAGCAACAACACCTACCAAGTTAAGGATAAGGAGAGTTGTTGGCGGGATAAGGAGCGTTGTCCATTTAAACATGTACAGTTCAGCGAAATCCCCGTCCTCATCTGATGACTTGGACGTGACAGTAAAGTTGGTGTCAATGCCAGCAAGCACCTTGAGCAAGCCTTGGAAAACAGCAAAAAGATGGGCTGAAACACCACCAATAACCCAAAACTGTTCATTCCTCCACCACTCATCAATCCCAACACCACTCCACCTCATCTCCAAGATACCGGTTGCAAAGATGGAAAGAAAGAGAGAAATAAACCATATACTTGCGATGTTACTGATCTGCAGCAGAGCAAGTCGAGCAAAAGAAAATTAGTAGATGCTGAAGATGCAGCGATAGGAAGTCTTTCGCAAGTTACACAGCAGCAACACATCAGATCCCAATTGAATGCATATCCATAGATTACATCTTAAAAAGGTGAAATTTCGGTAATTCAGGCAATCAATCCAAAATGCCATATTAGCAATAATTGTTTTCTTTAAAATCACGCATAGTTAACCCACTACCTCCCTGTAGGCAGATCCCATGTGAGCAGGGACTGCACAAAAGAGGAGCACAGAGAGACAAAATGCCTTCAAGTCCAAGTTTGGACATTGAGGCTGTGCATGGACAGAAAGCGTAACTAACCTGTGGAATAATGAACTTGTCTGTAAGTAGACAGACAGCTGGAAGTGTGCAGTAAAGGAGAAGAGGAATGGCGGTGATTGGATAAATGGTAGTGTTTACATATGCAAACCTCTCGAGCCATTTCAGCCTACCATTATAGCCATACCAAATTGGACAATGCCGACTGAGAAGAATTTCAACAGAACCCAGAGCCCATCGAAGCACTTGGTTCAGACGATCAGAAAGATTAATAGGAGCAGACCCTTTAAAGGCTGGGCGCTTGGGCATGCAGTAAATTGACCGCCAACCACGGGCATGCATCTTGAATCCGGTAAGAATATCTTCTGTAACAGAACCATAGATCCATCCAATCTGCAGTTTGAGAAACAAGTCTTGTGAGGAATCAAGAAAGTATAATAGAGGTAAAACAACTGGAGTAAGCAAAGATTGTTTGAATGCAACAAAATCAATTATATTAGAGACCTTTCTAATGAACAGCTAGAATATATCTCAGTTGTAAGGTTTGCCTAATCTAGAGGCATATTTTAGGCCTGTAAACTTTATAACACAAAGAGGAAGCATTATCTTGTTACAAAAAACAGTTTTGCTCATTATATTATCTTGCATCCTCCTCATCATAACTATTCCAAGAAAATTAGATTATGGTCCTCGAATTCATGACGTGACTAAATTTCCTCAACGCGCAGCTGGAATGATTTATGGCGAAAACACATGGCAGCACCCAAATGGAGGTCAAAGCAATAAGCAAAAGAAATAAACACACCTCAGTTCCCCAATCTGTTTTGTCCTCATACCCACAGCTGATGACATGAATAGCCTCTTTAAGAAGAGTTTCTGGTGTTGCAGACTGAGGAACACCGCCATTCTCCATAAGTGTGGAAGCAACAAAAACAGCTGACTGGCCAAACCTCTTCTCCAGGCTCATTTGTGACATGAGAAGTGACTTCTCATCATCAAATCCAGCTCCTGAATTTACAAATGTGCATACAAAAATGTCAGTCACACTCTATATAATTCATTACTTTGAAAAACAAAAAACCTTCCATCTATCAATTCACGCTACCCAGGCAATATCAGTGAGAAATTCCGTAAAAAATTACCTATTTGCTGACAAAAGTTTAAAAAAAAAAAAAATGATGATCTTACTTCGGAACTAAAGGTTTATAATAATATTGTTTGAATGACCAGTATAGAGTCATGGGTTAAAGATCAAATTCAGTTTCATGGCTGACTCGTCAACTTTAGATAATTAGATGTTAACCCTCACCTGAGTAAGAGGATGAAAGAAATGTCTTCTACTAACTTATTTATCAAGGAAACAGAAAGGGAAAACATAAAAATGTACCTTCAACACCCTCTTCTATATCTTCTAAGCTGAAAATGGGTACAGTGGGATCTACATGCTTTCCAGATTTCTTCTTGTCAGAGCCCTTTTTACTTGATTTAGAACTCTTCTTTCGAGACCCACCACAGAGTGAAGACAGCAACCCTGGTTTCTTATGCTTGGGTTTGAGTGGAGGTTCATAACCATACAATGCCGTCCTATTAAAGACACATCCAGTGCCCACATAGACAGGTCCTTGAATACCATCCAAACCCCTCAAGTTTATCTAAATTCAGACGAAAAAGAAGACATAAAAAATAACAATAAGCAATGGCAAAACATTTTATGCAGCCTTCTGATTATCCAAATCATCAACACATAGACATAGCACAAAGCCAAAAACAAAACTAAAAAACCATTTAATGAAATCATAATCAACTGATGCAGAACTTACATCAAAGAATACGGTATTGCGATTGGCATATCGATCATTCCTGTCAATGCCATCAAATCTTTGTGGAAATTGAACATAACAGACATTTTTCCCAAGGTTAGGATCCATCATGAAACACATAGCTTCTCTCAAAGCCTTGCTATTGTTTATGTAGTGATCACAATCAAGATTCAACAAGAAAGGCCCATTAGTTAGCACAGCTGATACGCGAACCTGAAAGAGTTGCATGTCAGTGTTAAAAATGAGTCCAGACCTGAACAAAATAATATACATACATACTTCACATAATTACTTTTATTGTTAACTACTCACAAGTGCATTCATGGCACCCGCTTTCTTGTGGTGCTGGAAGCCTGGTCGCTTTTCACGAGACACATAAACTAACCGCGGCAGCTCGTTACCATCAGTATCAAGCCCTCCACTTTGCCCTAAGAAAACCTGAGGACAAAAATGAAAGCTTTCTTAGGGTACTGCTTGGGATCAGAGCTCATTTGATCAGCTTGAGCAAAACCCATGAATCAAAATCCAAAAATTATCAAAAGTTGGAGGCAGAATAGAAGGCATTACATTGGACATGACATGATAAGGGAAAAAGACTACAGAATACATAAGGCAAATAATGTGCAGAAAAACAAATCTAATAAATTGTTTTGGTGTGCACAATATCAGTGATTTTTAACTTTCTGGCTAGAAGAGAAAAGTTGCCCAAAGCTTAAGAGAAACATCTACACGACAGAAACTTGAATAATAAACAAATGCCAAAATGTTTTTACCTGAATCATTCCTGGATGGTCTCTGATGTTATTTCCAGGCCATGGGGTTCCATCTTGCATAATCCATCCTTCTTCAGGCACTTTTTGTGCCTTGGCAACAAGCCCATTAATACGAATTTTAAATTCTTCATATTCTCTCTGCAACAAGAGGAAGGAGTTACCATATGAAAGGTTCAACTATGGAAAACTTTTGCATGGCTAAGTAAATGAAGCACTGAATTGATACCTTCATAGCTCTACGATCTTTGACAAAAGATGGTTGCACTTTATCTTTCAAGTAGTCAATCTTCTGTGCAAAGTAGAATTCTGGAGCCCGAGGCTCAATGCTGTATTTCTTGCAGAAGGGTACCCATTTCCTGGCAAACTCTGAAGTCTCAGACAAAGCTTCAAACGTCAACATTGCAGCACCATCATCAGAGACATAGCACGAGACTTTGTCAATTGGGTAGTCAATTGCAAGAATAGATAGCACTGTGTTTGCTGTCACAAGAGGAGGCTCCTTTAATGGGTCAACAGTACTGACAAAAATGTCAACAGCAGCTAGTTGTGATGGTTCTCCTTCATGGTCATACCTGTAACCCATATAGAACAAAAATAAAGATCTTAAATATTGAAAAGGAAAAGAGAAAAAAGGCACCATCACTGAAACCAGCATCCTCTTGAAAAGCATGGGAAGAGATTTGATTGTAGCCAGAAGTAGGACAGATGCAAAAGGAACATACCTCAAAGCAAGCCTGTCAAGATACGTTTCGCGATTTACAGGGAGCCACTTGGGGAACTGATCCAATATCCACGATATTGCAAACCAAATCTCACATATCACAGATATTAACCATAATGCATAGGCATTGCGCACAGGATTTGTTATTCGGTAGTGCAAGAAAACGCAGAGGATGATAAGCCGCAAAACAATGACCATCCGGTATGGATTAATCCTAGAAGAAGGAATGGAAACCTTCCTCGAGAGAGGTTGCCGAGCTTCATCATTCCTGCAGGTAGGCAAGAGTATTATAGTCTAGCAGTTGAGTGTAGTTAGCACCTACTTTTCTGTTCTCAATTATTCCTAACTGCCAATGCTCCAAATATCAGAATAGATTGCAGGCAATGTGAAAACTCGAAGGCCCCACTTCCCAGAACATTATTGGTATGAATTATGAAAACACAATAAACTTAACTATGTGGAAACTTACAGTAAAGAGTCATCCACAAGCACATCTGTGGCGGCATCAATATCTCCAGCACCCCTTTCAGAAGGCGCGTGGCCAGTACTCATTGGAACAACATTCTTGTCCTGCTTCATCTTCCAGCCATCAACTCTTTCCTTCCAAGCCACATTGCCCAGTCCTGGATAACCAAACTCCCTTGCTGGGTCCACAACCCTCACATTAGCTGCTAAAAAACATATAGAATGAGTACCACATATGACCACATAACATCCAAACATATTATACAAGAACCTGAGACATACATGATTGATGGACATCAGATGCATAAGGGATGCGCTTCCCACCAGAAGCTCCAGGAGATGCCAAAGAAATATGCTCAGGTGATGCAGCAGACAGCTCTCCTGAAACCTAAAAGTTAAATGTAGGCAAAGATTAAACTTCAGGTTCTCATAAAAAAACCATTTCAGCTTCAGGGTTTTCTCTTTAACAGCATACCAGAAGTTCATTGACTTACTTCATGTCCATTGGTGAGCAGTGGAATATGGTTATGAGAGACCTCTTTATCATAATTCGGAGGGCCCACATCTTCCCCTCGTCCATAAGTCATCTGCCAGCTCAACATGCGTTCTGCAATCTTCTGTTTCTGGTTTTGATTTTCTGAAGAGTAATTAAAATCACTAGCACCATCATCAGCATCAGCATCCTCTTCTCTATCACCAAGAATGGCAGGGCTACCTGATATCATCTCACAGTTAGTGCTAAAATGATTTCAAAATTAATAACATCATAGTCAGTTACTAGGTGAATTTTCATTTTCCATTGCATTGCATGGAAGAAACAATTGTCACATCATTAATGAACATTCAAACACTACTGTGATATTTCAAAACAAGAATTACATGTACTCAACAAACCATGAGTTGCATTCAAATCAGAATTACAATCTCTTCAATTTCAGACACTTGATAAAGCATCCAGTGAGACAATGTTGTTAAACATACCTTTGTGCCTCTTGTATCTGGTTTTGCACTGAGGGCAAGACTGATTTCCGTCCTTCCTCTCGTACTCATAGCAAGGCCTGCACACTGGAAATGCACAAACATCGCAAGCAACAAATGGTTCACCATCCAAAGTCTTGCCAACATTATCACCACAGATCTGACAAACCTGTCCGCCTATACTTTTCATGGGCTTCGCCTAAATAACCAAGCAAAAATGCACTATATTTCAGAAACCATACAACAATTCCACTGAGAATCTAAACCCGACAAACACCCAAGGAATATACTAAGAAGGAAAATCACAAAAGACAGTCAAAGTTCAAGTTTTTGGTGAGCAACAGTACTGACTCTCTTCTATAAATTCTTCAACCAACCAAAAAAATAATAATAATTGAATCACCATCGATACTTACCCCGGTTTCACCTTCTGATTCCATCGACACCTGCTCTCTTTATCCCAGAATTGAACAGTGGATAGAAATAACTGTTCAGTTCAACAGACTCTACGCATCCCTAATCATAAAAGAGCTACGAAGTTTCAGCTTCTCTCACTCTCAACTTCAAAAGCAACCGCTAATCTCCCAGATCTACTGCATAAAGACAGAGTGAGAATCAAATTGCGCCCCTCAATAGATACAGAAGATCAATACACGGAGTGGCATATATCATGTTAATATTTTTCCTATTTTAGTACAATATTAAAAATACTTATCCACTGAATTGAGCCGTCAATTAAGTTCACTGATCACCGGTTTTCACGTTTTCACCAGTAATTAACCTCAAATCTAAATATTTAACAAGAAATTACAACAACATTATAAACAAAGCAACAAAAAATTGAACTTTCTTTCGTTCGCTTGGGTACAAAACAGAAATTAGCAAAATTGACTTCCAATTGACAAAAAAAATCAATAGTTTAAACACAAAATCTGGCACAAAATAGCCAAGTTTGTTGAAATCAAAACAAAAACCACACACTTGCTTGATCTCCGATAAGCCAAATTGAATTTGATTTTCAATTGAATCTCCACAAGATCTCGCAACAGAAAACAAAAATCAGAAAGTGACAAGTGACTTACAGACTGAGAGTCAAAGATTGATGGTAGATCGATGGGTACAGAGAGAGAGGCAGAGCGTGAGATGAAAGAGGTAGTAAGACGAGCAATGCAAAGGAACGGCTCTGTCTCTCTTTGTCTGTGTTTGTTTAAATCATTTAAGTATAGAATTAGTTACGGGTTTCTTTTTCATAGAAGGTGTGACATAGCTGTAAATGAAAGTTTTTAATAGAAACGAAAGCGACACAGCAGCTGCTGGTTTTTGAGTCACCACGCCACCGACACTCTTTTTGAGAAGGAAATAATTGGAATTTGAAAGGATTGAAGATAGAAAAACAGATCATTCCTTGCCAATCATTTCTTCTTCTTACAAATATTTTTTATGTTTTTGCTTTTGCTAAAACTTCGAAAAAAAGAAAGTTCTTTTTTTTTTTTCTTTCTAAAGGAAAAAATAGTAAGAAGATGAGTGGGAGGGAGTTGTTTTTATTTTTTACTGAAGGTACTCCTACTACTTCTGTACTGTTGCAGTTTCTTTTGGGTTTGACTTGTGGTTTGCTTACCCAATAGTGTCTTGCCACGTAAGATTGGAAGGGAAACATTTTTTTCAATGGCAGTACAAACAAGCGCCTTAGTCGACAGTGCCTTTGCAGCTGTGTCCTGTGGGGAAAATATTTCTTTAAAAAAAAAAAAACCTTGGTCTGGTGCAATTAATGCCGTGGGCGTGAATAATAAATAATAATAATAATAAGAAGAAGAAGATGAATGTTTATTTTCGTTTATTTTATTGGAAAGGGGGTATGTGTTATCTCTTGTATTTTTCAACCAATTGAATAAATAACATATTGCCATTAAACACTTGAGAATATTTTCAATGTTGATGGCAAATTAAAGAAAAATCATCAGCGGTTGAGAAATAGAGAATGTAGCTAAATTTAACTAATTGGAGAGGGAAACATCAATTATTTTGAGTTCAATTGAGCATAAGATGCCAAGATTTATGAGCTACTACCATGTGAATGTGATGATATTATTGTTCTTTTTCTTTCCATACATCATGCTTTTGCCCCGTATTAGCTTCGTCCTTTTGCACGGCCCAGTTTAAGACAAAAAGAAATCTTAAAAAAAAAAAAAAAAAGGATTTGAGACAAAGGATTTTGAATCTGGCTAGCTATTAGTGCGTCTGTTGTGTTGTATTATAAAATTAAATACATTAAATTATTTGGTAATAAATTATCATATTATTTTGTGAATAAAGTCACTTAATTGTTTGGTAATCTACTAGTTTATTATTTAAATTAAGTTTACCATTAGGATATAACTTAAATTAAATATTTTATTCAAGAAATTAAATTAAATTATTTTTAAAAAATAATTTTTTATTTGAAAAACACACAGATATCATAAACAACATAAGAAAAAAAAATAAGAGAAAAAGCGAGAATTAAAAGATTACATGATTTTTTTAAAAGGTAAATAAAATTATCTAGTTTAATTAATAAAGATAATAGTAACGGTTGTGCGTGTGTATACACATAAGGAGAAGAAAGAAAGAAATAAAGGAGCAAAAATGAAAGCTTTAAATAGTTTAAAAATAAATAAAACTATTTAATAATTTAATTAAGCAACATTATATTAGTTTGTATGTGTACAATTATTAGGAGTTACACTTTTAAATGTTTAAAATTATTTTTTAAATAAATCAAGCAGTCTTCTATCTTAAAAAAACATAATTTTTCATTTTTTTTAAATGAAAAATTCTTAAAAAATCATATATCTTAAACCTTTTTATATAAAAATCACCTTCTACTTTCGGGGGAAAAAAAGGAGAAAAAAGAAACAACTAATTTTACGTTTTTGGTGGTTTTAATCGTCTTGCTTTAAATCAACAGACGAGACAAACTCTTTAACAAAATAGCAAAAACTCCAGTAAGATCCAAATCATTAGATTATCAGACGATCCAACCCAAGACCCAAACAAACCCTTAAAAGAACATTATTCCGGGCTGGCCCAAATGCCTAAGCATGGAAAGAAATGTTGAAGGCTTGTAATGTAAAGTTCAACGAGCACTCGACAGGCGCCATCTGATTCAATGATGCACGCGGCAGCAAAATTTTCACACTGGTTTGTTCTCTAGGGTTTTGTATTTCGACAGGAAGAGACATGGCCTCTTTTGGCTCTCTAAAATCTGCAATTTTCGATAGAGAAGAGAGAAAACAGTACCTTTCTTTGCTTCTCATCTCTTGAAATTCAAAATTTTAACCCGATGCACTGCATGGACATATCTTACAATAGACATGTCATTTATGAATTTTTGTTGTTTACAGGCAATATAAATCCCATATTCTAGGCCTCAACGCTTACGATCGCCACAAGAAATTTTTGAACGATTATGGTACAGTTACTAACTATAATTTGTTTGTTTGATCGAGTTAGCGATTTTGCTGTATAGATTATCTGATTAAATGGATTGATGAGTGTTCTATATATATAAATTGGAAGGAAATAATGCTGTTTAATTCCTTTGTTTTTCCAAGCTGAAATGAGGAGGACATAGAAGGAATTTGTGCAAATAAGAAGCAATGTGTTTGTAGAATATTCCTCTCCTTAATGTCCAAAAGCAAAATGGGGTGGTGAACAGTCTCCTCCACTAAGGAAGGAAGGAGGCTACAATCATCCTCATATTTCTTTTCTTTTCATCTGCAAATTATTTTTCATGGCTGTGTTTTTTTTTTAAAAAAAAAAAAAAAAAAAAACCTTGTGTGTGGTTGTATAGGCAATTAGGCTAAGTTTTGGTTTGTAAAAGAAGGTATCAAGACCATTACGGTTTTATTTTGTCAATTTTTGGATATATTTTGACCTTACTATTACTATTATTATTCTGTTTCTTCTGTGCAGTTAGTTTTTATGGAAAAGAAAAATCTAGCAATGATAAGCTGCCGATTAAAACAGACAGAGACACCCTAAGAGAAGGATACCGGTTTGTTGATTCTCTCTCTTTTTTTATATATTTATATATAATCTTGCTGCATTTGCTTAGTTATTAATTGTCTGTGAGATTTTGGTGACATTGATTAATTATTTTTTCAAAGTATAAGGTTAGATACCCGAGTAGACTTGGATATGTTTATTTTTTTTATTTTTTTATTTTTTTCCTGCATGGATGCCCTAAAACACTTTTTTTCTAAAAAATGATATGGAGCTGATAATTAATCTAGGTTAGAAAGATGTCTTGAATGAGTCGAGTTCCAATTAGGAACTATTTGGCACAAGCTTGTTGGCATATCCCTTTTTTTTTTTTTGTGCAATAATTGGCAATTACATGATGTAAATAAGGAGCTATATTGCTCAATTTAGAGCAATAAAAGTAATGAGGATGATATGTTCGTATCCAACCAAATAAATTCATGTTTAATGTACCATTAGTTGTATTATCCTTGCATTTCCTTTCATTCTCAATTCACACTGATTCATTTTCTATCATGAGTCCTGTTCTACTACAGTTGATGAAGGAAAATCCATTTACACCTATATGGTTAAATCTGTCTTCTTTTCTAAGGCTAGACGCTGCAGCTATGTCATCTTTTCCTTCTCTTTTATTTGTTAAGGTTCATTCGTTCAGAGGAAGATGATATGGATACATCCTGGGAGCAAAGGCTAGTGAAGCGTTACTATGATAAGCTTTTTAAAGAGTATCCTTTGCGAACGAATGTTGTTCAGTATTCTGAACTAAATTGCTTGTTACAACTCCATCTGAAATCCTTTTAGATATGCTGTGCACTTCCTTAAACTCTTTGAAGATACTGCATAGCTGACATGTCACACTACAAGATTGGCAAGGTAGGTGGTTTCTTGCTACATGAAGTCGTCTAATCTGAGCTGTACTGACTTGAAACTGTCACTCTGATGCTCTTAAGAATATATTTCTTTGTTTCACCAAAAGAATGATACTAAACTGGCTACGAAATGAGTTGTAGATTGGATTTTCCTCTACTGACATTGCCTGTTCTTTTCTTCTTGCTTTTTACATATTCTATTAGCTATTCAAAACTATTAACTATCTCCTTTTTTATCATCCAGCTGAGGCAACGTTATGTTCTTGTTTATCCCACTAGGGACAATTTACAATCCCTTCTTGTGGCTTGCATTAGGTTCATATTTTCCTTTCCTATATGGTCTACGTTTTTTCTTCTATCCTACTACAACAGTATGGCAATCTCTTACTGTGCCTTGTCATTGGATTTGTGTTTTGTTATTTCCTGTATGATCTAAACTTAGCATTTATTTCATCTTTGTTAGAGGTGGGTGTATTGAAATGCATTACCATATCTTTCTTCTTGTTGGGAAGTAGGGCAAGATTTCTGTCTTTCTGGCTGTTTGCTTC